TTCTATCCAATAACCACAACAAAAATAACAGAAAAATAAAACAAATAAAATCCTAAATAGTAAACATGACAACAGCAATGAAATGGGGTGTACTCAATGCAATCTAAAGTGAAACAAATCAGTCGCTAATGGTAGAAAATATCAGATTAAAAACAATCAGTTCTCGGTTCAAGATCCACCTAAACATGCATTGGATATGAACTAACCGTAACATTATTCTATCTCATTATTATGGAATTATTGACCCTAGGAAACAACAAGCTCTGGTACCCGAATTTTCCCTTAATTATCACTAATAAAACAAGCTCTTCAATTAGATCCTAAACCTTGAACAACCTAGAATAAGCCCTCTAAGTTTAATTCAATGGCAGCACTAAGAATTAGGAAAATAAATCAATCTAAGCAACAATCACACAAGTTTGGATTATTTAACTTAGGTTATGTTATTCAAGACAACAGACTGAAAACTTGTCCATAATCATCTATCATCATGTGTTACTCACTGAATAGAAAAAGGACAATTACGTATCACAATTCCTAATTCTAACAGATGAAATTCTGATAAAACAACTTAGCAGGCCATTACTAAATCATCCAAACAAAAATCATAAACAATTCCAATAAGAATGAGATTACGAACAATGTTACTGAGGTTATGTTACACCAATGGCATGAATTCAGGCTTCAAAATCCCCTTGAACTGAAGAAGAAAAATCAGCAACACATCTTGACCTAGAAAGTAAAAAAACTGAAAAACAATACTCTTCTGCCGTCTCCCCCTTGGTTAACCTAACACTCCTCAATAAATAACATGTTTTTTTCTTAATTGTACCCTAGGAATCATGGAAATTACTTTCCTAGACGTTTCCTAAAAGATAGACTTCCAAAACTGTCAAAATCTTATCAAATATGGAAAATAGAATTCGTCTCCATCTTGCACCAGGATTCTCAAAATGTAAAAGATATTTTCTGGGCTTGGTCACTTCATAAAAATTGTAGTTTTGGATGTGTAGATGAATCTGGGCTTTTGAATCACCTGCTTTCGATATCTGAAACTCCAGTTAGGCCCATTCGAAGGCTCAATACTCAGCCAGGAAATCCTTCCGTGACTAGGATTCCAGGTCTGGTTTTGCAACAACTAATGAGGACCCAAACAAACTCAGATTCTCTCCCATAATACCTTCCTGGAAATTTTGATTCATCTAATTTAATTTTTCTCAAGGACACTTTTGCAATCGAGAAATCTAACTCCATGAAAAACCTGAAAAATGCAGCACTGGTCAGAATAACGAAAAATTTGGAAAATCTGGAATTTTCAAATCTTTTCTCAATTATTTCCTAAACTCTATCCAAATATGCCAAACTTACAAAATAAACTCTAATCAACTCAACTACATAACAAAAACATAATATGGAAGGAATAAAAAATATATAAATTACACTCTTATCAAGGATCGCTTGGATTTGGTCAGGGTTGACTTCTATTCCATGCTAAGTTACCATGAATCCTAAGAATTTTCCTGATGAGACCTTGAACGAACATTTGGCTAGGTTCAGCTTCATATTTTATTTCTTAGGACGACGAATGCTTGGCTGAGGTGGTTGAGTTGCTGCTCGGCCATAAGAGACTTGACGAGCATGTCGTCAATGTAGACTTCCATGGTGTCTTCGAGGTCTTCGGCAAACATTCTGTTGACCAGCCGCTGATAGGTAGCCCCGACGTTTTTAAGACCAAAAGGCATTACTTTGTAGCAGTAGGTTCCCCTCTCTATGATAAAGGTTGTTTTCTCTTTGTCGTCTGGGTGCATCAAAATCTGGTTATACCCTGAGAAGGCATCCATAAACCTTAGGAGTTCATGACCTACTGTCGCATCGACCATCATGTTGATATGTGAGAGCAGAAAGGAGTCCTTAGGGCATGCTTTGTTTAAATCCATGAAGTCTATGTAGACCCTCTACTTTCCATTCTTTTTATTCATGCTTGCTAGTTAGGGTAGTTCACTTCTCTGACCAGTCTGTTACTTAGTAGTTTGTAAATCTCTTCATTGACGACCCAGTTGCATTCTGGTGCGAACTTCCTTCGCCTCTGCATCACTGGAGGGTGATCTGAATCTATGTGGAAATGGTGGACGATTGCCTCGAAATTTTTGTCATGTATGCGTAGGACCAGGCGAAGAAGTCCTGATTTTGCTTGAAGAAATCAATAAGTTGCTCTCTTATCTCAGGCCTAAGGCGAGAGCCTATCTGTGTCTTTCAGTCAGGGTGGTCTGGATGTATCTGCACTTCATCCAACTCTTCTATGGATGGTTGATATAGCTTAGTTGGAGGGGTTGGATGGGACTGTAGTTGCTTTGAAGCATGAGCTTTGCCTTTGAAGGCGTTTTTGTAGCAATCTCTAGAGGCCTTAAGATTGCCCTTGATTTCTCTTACTCCCCATTTTGTTGGAAACCTGATAGTTTGATGGAAGGTAGATAGGACAGCTCGCATGTCGTGGATCCAAGGTCGACCAAAGATGACGTTGTATGGTGAGTAGCAATCGAGCACTAGGAAAATGGTTTGCTTGTTGACTCCACTGGTGTAGACAGGCAACGCGATTTTGCTGATGATGTACTTCTGCTCAGAACTAAACTTGACCAATATGGTTGGTCGTCTACTAATGTTTGATTCATCCAGTCCCATGGCCTTCACTACTTTAAGGAAGAGGATGTTTGCTAAGGATCCCCCGTCTACAAATACTCTCTTAACCAGAATGTTAGCAATCTGGAGGAAGATGACCAAAGCATCATGATGAGGGGTAGCAAGGGTGATTGGCTCGTCATCTTCAAACTGAATGACCTAGTTGGTATGCACCCGAGGGGATGGATGAATAGATCGGACTTCTAGGTGATGGTTGGCTCGAGCGTAATGTAACGCCCCACTTGAGGTACGTAGTTACTGTTCTTTCGTTTGCTCTTATTTGAGATGGTATCGTGGTAATATTGTTTGGTTGACAGTAGTATGAGTGTTGTGTTGAATAATTGCCTTGAAATTGGTTAAAAATAGAAGAAGTGTTGTATGCCGAGCTTCGCCGGGGCGAAGAAGAATCTTGGCCGCGGCGAAGAGGTGTTGAAGCCACGGGAAACTTTCTGGACAGTTTCGCCGCGGCGACAGTCCGACCAAAATGTTTACTAAGTTTTAGATATTTTCTTCATTAAGGGCAATTTGACCATTCTACCCCTAATTAGCAGGAATAGTGGGGAGTAAATTGTAAGGAAATTTCAAGGAGAATATGTTAGTATGGGGGTATGTTAGTAAGGAATCAAAGGATATGGATGGAATTTCCATAAAAGAGCAAGGGCAAAATGGGAAGAATAAGTATTAAGAGTTATTAAAAAGGGTTTAGCCTTTGAAAGTTCTTCATTTCCCATTTCCACCGCCTCCTTCATTCTTCTAAACTCTCTCAAATTTCCTTCAATCTTTCAAGGATTTCCAAGAGCCTTTTTGAGAAACTTTTAGTAGGGTTTTAACCTAAAGCTTCCTAAGGTAAGGATTTGTACTTTAGATGAGAGTTTTCTTATGTTTTGATTAGAATCTCATGTTGTGATTGTTGGTTAAGTTGTAGAGGAAAAGCAAGCTTCCAAAGGAAAGGAGAAGTGTTAAAGAAGCTATTTTCTCATAAGGTAAGTAAACTCAACCTAAGTTGAGATTTAAGAACTCTTTTGAGTAGAGTTATATACATATATGTGTATTCATTTAATTGTTGAATGAGATTAGTAGTTATGATTGAGTTATGAGAAGTGTTTTATTTGCTTGATGTTGGGTTGAGTTTGATAGAAGTTGGAGGAAGTTTTGAGCAAGCTTATGGAAGTGTTTTTCTTTTGACAGGAAATTTAGAGCTTATGAGGGAGTTTTCTCCCATTTGGTTGATTAAAGAAAAGAGAAAAGTTAGAGTTAGAGTAGAGTTATTTATGCACATGAGTTGTATGATGAAATGCTCAAGAGAATCATAAGTAAGGGTAGAAAGCCTTAATTGTTGCTACATGTCATAGTTACTTTTCATAAATGCATTAATGAGTATGAGTCATTGATGTGCATTAATTATGCTTTACTTATGCATTAGAAAAGAGAGTAGAGAAAGAGTAGAGACTTTTGAGTTTAGACTACTCTAAGAGTAGAAAGAAAGAGAGAATGAGCACTATAGAGTAAAGCTAGAGTAGTGCTTAATAAGAGAATAGAGTAGGTTGTGCGATGGGGAACCTGTGAGTACGGGTAGAGTATTCCCGCATGTACGCCGCATCAATAAAGCGGCCAGAGTATCAGAAAGAGAAGTGGTGTAGCCCGTAGTGTACATGCGGATGAGGGCTATACCCGAGTTTACCCGAGAGATTCTATGCACTCACATGGCCAAAGGTTCCGAATCCATGCATAACCAAGTCCGATCGGCTAGAATGAGTAGAAGTCACCGGGAGTGGGAGCGAGTCCCAGCCGTGCCTCCGGTCAGATGGGGCCGTGACTTACTAGAAAGAAAGTTAGTATAGAGGAGCTATGAGAAAGAGTAATTAGATAGTGATTAAAGAAAGAGTTACGGAGATATTTGAGTTCAGGGGTTTACTTACTGAGCCTTGTTTGTGCTCATCCAGTTGTTCCCTATGTTTTTGCAGGTTCTAGATGAGGACACAGTCGGATGGACATCGGCACACGAAGAGAAATGGCTACACTGTCCACCCTATTTTGATAGTTTTGCATATGTCACAAACCTTGTATATATTTGTATAAAGAATGCATATGTTTAATAAAAGAAAAATTTTGGGCCCAACTTTTTATATTATTGTTACATGTACTTTTACTATGCATGTTTTTATAAGAATGGAGTCGTTACATTTTTGGTATCAGAGCAAAGATTTTGGGATTTGACAGTGTACCATTCTCATCGCTACGATGTCCAATAGCCGACTGTGTAAGTTAATTATTTCTTTATGTCGAGTGTTCTCTTAAATTGATCCAGTGTGGTCGTTTTGTAGATGAGGCGTAGTAACCGAAATAAGGGTAAGAGGGTGATGAATGAGGGAGAATCCTCTAACCCCCCAGAACCAAACCCCCCTACTCTTGATGTGACATTGATTCGGAATATTGTTCAAGAGGTGTTAGCAGAGAGTCAGGGGAGAGTTGTACCAGAAAGAACTGAGACCCCTGGACGAGGACGGCCCGCAAGACAAGAACGAGAGGGGCCGGTACCTCCAGTAGTACCGAATCGAGTTGATCCGGTTCAGGGGCTTGCAAGCCAACACCAGCCGTCAGAGTTTAAGGGCACAAGGGATCCGCTGGAAGCAGAAGAGTGGTTTAAGTCCGTAGAGCGGATAGTGGCCTTGTTTCCCATGAACGACAGAGAGAGAATCAGATATGCTAGTTTCCTGTTTCGGGGAGATGCCCGAATTTGGTGGGAACTAATGGAAGAGACTCACGACTCGGTTTTAATGACTTGGGCAGAATTCAAAAGACTGTTTGAAGCCGAGTATCGAACGGAAGACCGAGTACATGAGAAAGTCCAAGAGTTCATTAATTTGAAACAGGGGACTAGTACGGTGAAGGAGTATTCGGTAAGATTCAATTCCCTCGCCCGATTTGCACCCGGGATAGTGTACACTCCAGTGTTGAGGAGGGACAAGTTTGTACAGGGGTTGAAATCCGATATTGCCCGAGATGTGATGACAGGAGCTGAGCCTCCTCATACCTATAGTGAGGCTTTAACAAGGGCGTTAAGGGCGGAGATTTATGTGAATAAGCACATTGCCGAAGAGTCATCTTTACAGGTACTCAGTGAACCATCCCCTGCTTTGCAGAGGGAGAGGGTGGATGCATCAAGGAATAGAGAAGTAAGGGTCAAGAAGAAGTTCCAACCCAAGAATAACAGGAGGGATTGGCAGAACAAGCGGCCCAGAACCGAAGGGTTGCCCCTTTGTGCTAAATGTGGAAGGAACCATTCGGGGGAATGTTTAAGGGATAGAAATGTGTGTTACAGGTGCCGTCAGCCAGGGCATCTGAAGAAGGATTGTAAAGCTCCGTTTCCGACCGCAGCACAGGGTTCGAGAGGTACTAATGCCAGAGTTTTTACGGTGGCTCAGGGTGAAGCTGAGGCCAGTCCATCAGCTGTAACTGGTCAGTTGTTATTCCATGCTGTTTCTTTATATGCTTTAATTGATTCTGGGGCTACCCATTCTTTTATATCGCATGGGATGATCGAGAGATTAGGTTTGAAACCTAGCAGAGTGAGTCAACCTATTAAGATTGAGTTACCTGATGGGGTGAGTGTGTTGACTCAGGAGATGTTGTTAGGAGAATCCATAGTGATCCATGGTCGAGAGTTAGCAGTCGATTTAATAGTCTTTGATATGCCCGACTTTGATGTGATTTTGGGCATGGATTTCCTAGGGAGGTATGGAGTAGAGATCGATTGTCGAAAGAAGAAAGCGAGATTTAATCTCGACAGTGGAGATAAATTTAGCTTTGGAGAGGGCCATCGGTTGAGTATGTTAATTAGTAGTGTGAAGGCTAGAAAGATGTTGAAAAAGGGGTGTTCTGGATATATTGCTCATGTAGTGCAGAGTGGTGATGTTCCACAGCCAGAGATTCAGAAGGTGCCGATAGTTCGAGAGTTTTTAGATGTGTTTCCGGAAGATTTACCAGGTTTGCCACCGGAAAGAGAGGTTGAATTTAGTATCGAACTAGCACCAGGGACAGCACCAATATCTAAAGCCCCTTATCGAATGGCCCCAGCAGAGCTTCAGGAGTTGAAGAAGCAACTCCAAGAGCTTTTGGACAAGGGTTTTATCCGACCGAGTCATTCTCCCTGGGGAGCCCCAATTTTGTTTGTCAAAAAGAAGGACGGATCGCTACGGATGTGTATTGATTATAGAGAGTTGAATAAGGTGACTGTGAAGAATAAGTACCCGCTACCCCGAATTGATGATTTGTTTGATCAGTTGAGGGGGGCAGCAGTATTCTCTAAGATTGATCTGAGGTCAGGGTACCATCAGGTAAGAGTGGCTGGGCAAGATGTAGCTAAGACTGCTTTCCGTTCAAGGTATGGGCATTATGAGTTTGTAGTGATGCCGTTTGGTTTGACCAATGCCCCAGCAGTTTTTATGGACTTGATGAACCGGGTATTCCACGATTGTTTAGATCAATTCATAGTGGTTTTCATAGACGATATCCTGGTTTACTCTAAGTCAAGAGAAGAGCATGAGGGACATTTGAGAATCGTACTGCAACGGTTGAGAGAAAAGCAGTTGTATGCTAAGTTTTCGAAATGTGAGTTTTGGCTCGATCGAGTAATATTCTTGGGCCATACTGTATCGAAGGAAGGGATCTCTGTAGACCCGAGTAAAGTGCAAGCAATCCTCGAGTGGCAGAGGCCGAGGACAGTAAAGGAGGTCAGAAGTTTCTTAGGCTTGGCAGGTTACTACAGACGATTCGTGGAAGGGTTTGCTCAGTTGGCCAAACCATTGACAACTCTTACCAAACAGAAGACTCCTTTTGTATGGTCAGAAGCTTGTGAGGAATGTTTCCAAGAATTGCAGAAGAGGTTAACAACGGCCCCAGTGTTAGTGTTGCCGCAGGAGGGTGTAGATTATGACATTTATACAGATGCCTCTTTGCAAGGACTTGGTTCAGTGTTAATGCAATTAGGTAGGGTGATAGCATATGCCTCTCGGCAATTGAAAGATCATGAAATGAGATACCCTACGCATGATTTAGAGTTGGCAGCAGTGGTCTTTGCCTTAAAGATTTGGAGGCATTACCTCTATGGTGCAAAGAGCAACATCTATACTGATCATAAGAGTTTGAAGTATTTCTTTACTCAGAAGGAGTTGAATATGAGGCAGAGAAGATGGTTAGAACTGGTTAAAGATTATGAGTGCGAGATCAAATATCAACCGGGGAAAGCCAATGTAGTAGCCGATGCCCTGAGTAGAAAAGCCTATTTGTCCCGACTCACTAAGCAAAGAGAATTGATAGAAGAGTTGTGTAGAGAGCAAATTGAAGTGATTCCGGGAGGGATTGCAAGGTTAGAAATTCAGACTACTTTACTGGGGGAAGTGAAAGAAAAGCAAGTGGCCGATGAGTGGTGTCAGAAAATAGTTCAACGAGTACTTGAAGGTAAGACAGCAGAGTTTTGTGTGAGAGATGGTGTTCTTTACTTCAGGAATCGGTTGTGTATTCCTCCGAACGGTGAGTTGAGGCAGAAAATTCTTTTGGAGGCTCATGACACACCATACACTGCTCATCCTGGAGCAACTAAGATGTATCAGGACGTAAAGAAAAGCTATTGGTGGACAGGTATGAAGAAAGACATTGCAGAGTTCGTAGCTAAATGTCTAACTTGTCAGCAAGTGAAAGCAGAACATCAACGGCCGTCAGGGTTGCTTCAACCATTGAGTGTTCCAGAGTGGAAATGGGAGAGTATTTCAATGGATTTCATCACCGGTCTCCCTAGAGTCCAGAGAGGGTATAATGCTTTATGGGTGATTGTGGATAGGTTAACCAAATCAGCCCATTTTCTTCCAGTAAAGGAAAGCACTACTACGGATCAGCTGGCTCAGATCTACATTAAGGAAATAGTCAGGTTACATGGTGTGCCCAAGACAATAGTGTCCGATAGAGATTCCAGATTTGTCTCAGCCTTCTGGATGAGTTTACAGAGGAACTTGGGTACTAGATTGGCATTCAGCACTGCCTATCATCCTCAGACGGATGGCCAAACCGAGAGGACAAATCAGGTGCTTGAGGATATGTTGAGAGCCTGCTGTATGGATTATAGAGCATCTTGGCATGAAATGTTACCCCTGGTGGAGTTTGCCTACAACAATAGTTATCAGTCTACAATTAAGATGGCGCCTTACGAGGCTTTGTATGGTAGACGATGTAGGTCTCCGCTACATTGGGATGAGGTAGGTGAAAAGGATGAGCTAAGTGCAGCTCTTGGGCCAGAGGTGACTCAGAAATTGATAGAAGATGTGAGACTGATCAGAAACAGGATGAAGCAAGCCCAAGATCGACAAAAGAGCTATGCCGACTTGAAGAGAAAAGAGGTCGAATTTCAAGTGGGTGATAAAGTGTTTTTGAAAGTTTCCCCCTTCAAGCGAGTAATGCGCTTCGGAAGCAAAGGGAAGTTAGCACCGCGATACGTAGGTCCATTTGAAGTTTTGCAACGGGTAGGAAAGGTGGCCTACAGATTGGCACTACCGCCTAGTATGGATAGGGTGCATGATGTCTTTCATGTCTCGATGCTACGGAAATACGTAAGTGATCCCCTCCATATCTTGAGTGTAGAGGACGTTGAAGTAACAGAGAACCTAGTATATGAAGAACGTCCAGTTCAGATTTTAGATCGAAGGGTTAAAGAGCTTCGGAACAAGAGTGTTCCGCTAGTGAAGATCCTTTGGAGGAATCACAAAGTGGAAGAGGCCACTTGGGAAGTAGAACGGGACATGCAGAATCGCTTTCCAGAGTTATTTGTATGAATTTCGGGGACGAAATTCTTTTAAGGGGGGAAGAAATGTAACGCCCCACTTGAGGTACGTAGTTATTGTTTCTTCTTTTGCTCTTATTTGAGTTGGTCTCTTGGTAATATTGTTTGGTTGACCTTTGTTTGAGTGTTGTGTTGAATACTTGCCCTGAAATTGGTTGAAAATAGAAGAAGTGTAGTGTGCCAAGCTTCGCCGGGGCGAAGAAGAATCTTCGCCGCGGCGAAGAGGTGTTAAATCCACGGGGAAACGTTCTGGACAGTTTCGCCGCGGCGACAGAAGCTTCCTCGCCGCGGCGACAGTCCGACCAAAATGTTTGTTAAGTTTTAGATATTCTCTTCCCTAAGGGCAATTTGACCATTCTACCCCTAATTAGCAGGAAAAGTGGGGAGTAAATTGTAAGGAAATTTCAAGGAGAATATGTTAGTATGGGGGTGTGTTAGTAAGGAATCAAAGGATATGGATGGAATTTCCATGAAAGAGCAAGGGCAAAATGGGAAGAATGAGTTATTAAGAGATATTTAAAAGGGTTTAGTCTTTGAAAACTCTTCATTTTCCCATTCCACCGCCTCCTTCATTCTTCCAAACTCTCTCAAATTTCCTTCAATCTTCCAAGGATTTCCAAGAGCCTTTTTGAGTAACTTTTAGTAGGGTTTTAATCTAAAGCTTCCTAAGGTAAGGATTCTTGCTTTAGATGAGAGTTTTATTATGTTTTGATTAGAGTCTCATGTTGTGATTGTTGGTTAAGTTGTAGAGGAAAAGCAAGCTCCCAAAGGAAAGGAGAAGTGTTAAAGAAGCTAATTTCTCATAAGGTAAGTAAACTCAACCTAAGTTGAGATTTAAGAACTCTTTTGAGTAGAGTTATATACATATGTGTATTCTTTTAATTGTTAAATGAGATTAGTAGTTATGATTGAGTTATGAGAAGTGTTTTATTTGCTTGATGTTGGGTTGAGTTTGATAGAAGTTGGAGGAAGTTTTGAGCAAGCTTATGGAAGTGTTTTTATTGTGACAGGGAATTTAGATGGTTGTGAGGGAGTTTTCTCCCATTTGGTTGATTAAAGAAAACAGAAAAGTTAGAGTTAGAGTAGAGTTGTTTATGCACATGAGTTGTATGATGAAATGCTCAAGAGAATCATAAGTAAGGGTAGAAAGCCTTAATTGTTGCTACATGTCATAGTTACTTTTCATAAATGCATTAATGAGTATGAGTCATTGATGTGCATTAATTATGCTTTACTTATGCATTAGAAAAGAGAGTAGAGAAAGAGTAGAGACTTTTGAGTTTAGACTACTCTAAGAGTAGAAAGAAAGAGAGAATGAGCACTATAGAGTAAAGCTAGAGTAGTGCTTAATAAGAGAATAGAGTAGGTTGTGCGATGGGGAACCTGTGAGTACGGGTAGAGTGTTCCCGCATGTACGCCGCAGCAATAAAGCGGCCAGAGTATCAGAAAGAGAAGTGGTGTAGCCCGTAGTGTACATGCGGATGAGGGCTATACCCGAGTTTACCCGAGAGATTCTATGCACTCACATGGCCAAAGGTTCCGAATCCATGCATAACCAAGTCCGATCGGCTAGAATGAGTAGAAGTCACCGGAAGTGGGAGCGAGTCCCAGCCGTGCCTCCGGTCAGATGGGGCCGTGACTTACTAGAAAGAAAGTTAGTATAGAAGAGCTATGAGAAAGAGTAATTAGCTAGTGATTAAAGAAAGAGTTACAGAGATATTTGAGTTCAGGGGTTTACTTACTGAGCCTTGTTTGTGCTCATCCAGTTGTTCCCTATGTTTTTGCAGGTTCTAGATGAGGACACAGTCGGATGGACATCGGCACACGAAGAGAAATGGCTACACTGTCCACCCTCTTTTGATAGTTTTGCATATGTCACAAACCTTGTATATATTTGTATAAAGAATGCATATGTTTAATGAAAGAAAAATTTTGGGCCCAACTTTTTATATTATGGTTACGTGTATTTTCACTGTGCATGTTTTTACAAGAATCGAGTCGTTACACGTAACGCTTGGCTGAGGAACAACTCACCCCACTGATTTCTAACCCTCCAAAGATAATTGGCAGAAACCCTTTGGTGTTCGTTCCCGTGGAGGGGTAGATGTTTCCTCAAAGCTTCTCTGGCCAACTATTTTCTTCCCTTTATCTATCAATAGGTCTCGAAGATGTCCCCTTTTTAGTAGTCCTGCGACTTCCAATCTTAGCGCGATGCAATCGGCGGTGTTATGACCATGGTTGTTGTGGAATTCGTAACACTTGGTCGCGTCCCTCTTCGCGTCGGGATTGAGTTTGGCTGGCCACTTCACGGTAGGTCCCATTCCTTTCATGATTGCCACAACCTGGGCTAGTTAGACATTGAGATTGTACTCTGAAATCTTGAATTGGTTTGATCCAAATGGTCTATTTTTGGCTCTAGTCGGCTGGCGGTCGTATGGTTTTTTTATTCTACTCAGATTATGGGGAAAGGGTTGATATCAGGACTCAAACGATCTGGACTCTAGCTTTCTTTCATTTCACCTTTGGTGATAGTCATCATATATGGCATGCATCATTCGGTTCACCTCATCTTCCTCCCACCTGATTTGGATCACAGCTCTGGAAAAGACATCTTACCCAAGCTTTGTCAGGTCTTTGTATAGTTTTCCATCGGGGAGAAGACCATTTCTGAAAGCTTTTACCATTGTCTCTGGATTATAGGATGGGATGGAGACTTTTTCTTTATTAAATCTGCTGATGTGCTCTCTTAGCAGCTCCCCCCTCTTCTGGTAGATTCTATATAGGTCAGCTGACAGCTTCTTGAGTTTCTTACTGCTAGCGAATTGTTCAACAAAGGTGTCGGTGAGTTGGACAAATGAGTTGATTGAGTTGTTTGGAAGGCTAGTGTACCATTGAAGAGCTGGTCCAAAGAGACTTGAGCCAAAGCTCTTACACATGTAGGCTTCCCTCAGTGTTTGGGGTATTGAGGCGGCAAACATCTGTTGCTTGTGTGAGGCTATGTGGTCATCTGGGTCAGTTGTGCCATCACAAGGCTTCATGCTGGGGATGGTGAATTTATGAGGCATCTTGGCTAGTGCGATTGCATCCACAAAGGGTGAATCGGCATAGTAGTGAGGTTGGCTCTTTTTGGTTGGGATTGGTACTCCAGGTATACGCCTCATCATTGCCTCTATGTCAGCCAATCTTTTGGCTAATATCTGCTCCATGGGCGAGGCGGAGGCCACCAGGTCCGCCTGGTTAGGTTGGTTGGTCGGTCATCTGATTCACACTCAGTACATTTCGTTAGGTCAAGTCACGTGGAGTAGCTTGGCGAACCATTCCATCGTGTGCTGCTTGGTAACTAGGATATCCATTCATTCCCTCAGGTTGGGTGGTTCCCATTGTGACTGATCGGGTGTTTTAGCTAGCATGGATGATGAGAGGGGTTATTTGAGAGTCGCTCGATCCGTGGGGATGGATGGACTCAAGTGGGGTGGGTTGAAGGTGAGGGAGTCCGCTCAACCCGTGAGGATAAATCGAGCCGCATGGGGTTTAGGTAGGAATGATGGATTGGAGATGAGACGTGATGGCAAGGATGGGTGGTTCTTGTTATGGTGGGCTTTCTGTCACTTGGATGTCTTGATCTCATGCTTGAAACGAGTCGACCGAGAGTGGGTCTACTAGCAGTCCTCACTCAATTGGATTCAGGGCTGAATCGTCCTCTAGTGATGAATAGAGTTGTCGCAACCTTGTATCCGAGATCGTTGGTCTGTGATCTGGAGTTTGGAAAGACTGCATGGACAGAACTAATGCGCATAAATGATTGGGTACAAGGTTGAAGCTCAAGGTCATAAAATTGACTTACTTTCTCTTTCAAAGACTAGTTTTCAACCCGGATTGAGGTGTTTTCAATCCAGATGGTTGTGTTCTCAGCTTCCAGTGCTGCCACCTTGTCTGAGTGTTGTTGCATAAGAGCGGTCAAAGCTTCAAGCTAGCCTCGAGGTTAGGATTGGTGTTATCTGAATTTTCAACATAGAGAGTTTCCTTACGAAGTAGGGTTTGAAAGATGAATGATTGCTAGAATCCCCACGATGGGCGCCAAACTGTAGATGCAAAAAATCTACCTTTACGAAAATAGGGTCTGATCCCATAAGATTGAGGTCACTAGCAATCCGCTGTACCTACACACTCAAGAAAACCAGCGTGAAGCGAACGGGAAACACTGAGGTGGTGTTTACCATAGGCACACCAACGCTCAAGTCAACAAGGCCGAGTGAGGCTAATTTAGTGAGGGTTAGAGAGAGAGAGAAGGTTACCAGAAGTCTAGTCGGAGACTATAACTATGGCTGTGATACAAAATTCTCGAGAGTGAGAACTGCGGGGTCTGAAGGTGTAATATCTGTGTCCTGTGAGAGGGTGAGCCTCTGTTTATATAGCAACTGTAGGATCTTCGAATCCTAGTAGGACTGAGAGTCTTTGGAGTTGATGTTTTGTAAAAAGGGAGAACTTTTGGCTCCCTTACCTAAGTAAGAAAGGGAGTCCCAACAGGTCTAAGACACAAATCTTAGACGAGTTAGCGTAGTGATAGACCTCTTCGATAGAGTTCGGGTAGTGCCGAGATAAGTAGATGACCCTAGGTTCCAAGCAAATCCTAAGTCCAGAAAGTGGTCTGGGATCAAAGGATATGGACCTAGATAAACTAGCGACGAGGCCCAAATGAATCGAGCCTCTGCTGATTGGGTCCAAGTAGTGAGAACCTAGGTAGATGTATCGAACAAACCTGATATGCAAACTCTATTGCGGGTCCAATTGGAATTGGGCCCTAGCTTTGAGTTTTGTTGAAAGTGTCTTTCTCTTTGGGCCTATTTGAGTCAAGGACATTTTTTGGCCTAACACGTCTCAGCTTTTCTTTTTATTGCCTACCGGGTCCATTTGTTGAGTTGTTCTCTTGCTTCACTTCAAAGTTCAAACAGGCATTTTGACCTCAATAGTGAACAAAACAATTAATTAGTTAGCGTGCAATAATGGGTTTGTTTGGCGTGCGAATTCTATTTATATTTTTTTAAGAGCACTGCAGTTGTTAAGATGCAATGCTGATGTTTAATTAATTTAAAAGACGGACTATATATATATATATATATGACCTTTGTGGCTTGGTCAGTTGTCACACAAGCCAAAAGATTAAAAATAAGAAAAAGGGGGGAAGAGGCGGGACTATATATATCTATGGTTGGTTAAAAACTTTTATTAACGTCAAATTAAATTATAAAAATTCTAATCCATATCTATCTTTTGTATGTGGTATTTACACAAAAAGTCTAATTTTAATCGATCTACATTCAATTCCATGTCAATGCTTAGATGAAAATAATAAGAAAGCGTTTAGTTTTATTTTCTGTTAAATTTCGCTGCCTAGATGGGAAGTGATGGATGAAATTAAAGTTGAACTTCAATGTACCAAAATCTTGAAATCCTTTTTCCCATTGGTTTTCCCATCTTGTTCTCTGCAATCCAAAATCGGAAAGTGAAAGTTTTTGAACTGGAATCCCTTCCAATAGAATTCACAGGAATTGTCTCACAAAACGATAAATACATCATCTTACATGAAATTACAATAATTTCTCTTAACCAAGCTTGGCAAGAACATCATTGAGAGTAGATACAGTTTCAGCATAGTACTTCTCCGCTTCAGGGGTGCTCTTAATCTTTGCCGCATGGTCCAACTGATAGACAACACGATACAAACAATATATTATCAGTTGTGTTTTATAATGTCTAAACCACAAGCATGAATGAGTGAATAGTGAACTCACACTGCTAATAGTTTGGAAGAGCTTTCCAGTAAGATCCTTGAGGGATTTCTTCTCATCTTTGGGCTTAGCAGAAATCACAGTGTTGAGGTCATAGCGGAGATACTCAGCCTTCAGACGGAGATCATTTTGGACATATGGCCATGCCTTCTTGTCTATCAATCCCTTCACATTAAGAATGTCCTTGGCTGATTCCTTCGCCCTCCGTGCAGCCTCACTTGGAGAGAGTGGTTGCAGGAAGAACCTTTCCTTCAATGGCAAGTTCAGGTCTCTCGGCTCGTCCGAGTTTAGAGTTCCAGCTACACAGCAATCAAAACATTCTTATTAATCATCAATCAAGAAATTAAGAAACAAAAAGAACTGGGGTTTTGGCAAAACTTACGCAATCCGCCGGAAGGGGGAGGAGGTGGGCCGACCTTGATGGAAAGAGCATTAGCAAGTACAGCTTGAACGAAGGAGCCGGAAGCTAAACCACCGGCAACCAATCCAATCATAGCCCGGCGGCTCGTTTCGGGTTCATTTGATCCTTGGTGTGCTCTAACACTGAAACCAGATCGACCCATCGCTACTTTGGTGCTGCTGTTCACATTCAAGGCTCTTGAACCACTCAGCTGGAGGCTACCTTCCAGGACGGCCTGAGAGGAGCCACGTAAGCCAGCCATTGAAGCCATTGCTTGTGCCATTTTCTCACAGAATGTTGAAGTTTCAATTGGTAGAGAGTTGAGGGAGAAATGTGGAATTATATTTTTGGGATATCTTGAGGGTGAGGTGGATGATGTGGTTTATGCTTTTCTTCCATGTAATTCGTGATGTAGATTCGCTTTGGGCGGCACCCTATCTGCCAATTTCTACTTGGATAAGTTGAGTTTGGCCTCTGCCAATCCATTCTTGACATGTGTAAATTATTTGACAAATTGGATTGGGTACTAGGGTGGGCTTGTGAGTTTTTGACACGTGGACTCAAAAAGGATTGTTATCTTACTTAACCTTCATATTTACCAATAAATTCATTTCGTATATTAACTCATAAAATAAAAATAAAAATGATGTGACTGGTTTTACTGAAAAGTTTATAGAGCAAACGACTTTTTTCCGCCCAAGGTTTGCCTTAACAAATTTTTCTACCCTAAAAGTTTTAAAATACCATTTTTCCACCCAAAGTTAATTTTACATACTATCCAAAAATGATTCTTATGAGAAAAATTCTCTCCGTCACCATCATTTGAACCTCTTGTCTCCTCTCTAAAAAACCTCTCTTACTCAAGCACCTAATTTTTCATCGATTATCAGCCACTGTAAAGTTAAGATTTCTATTATTAATTGATTTCTGACGGCTAATACTTAATCGATTACCACCATTTGATTCAAGGTTTTCACTCTATAAAACCCCACTTACTCTAGCTCCTGGTAACTTGTCGAACGCCAGTTAAAAAAGTGAAGTATATTTTGGGTATTAACAGAATATAAACTTTGGGTTGAAAAGTGATATTTTAAAACTTTTAGGTGGAAAATGATTAAGGCAAACCTTGGGTGAGAAAAAGTCGTTTACTCAAGTTTATAGGAGAATACATGCGCACCATGTTAAAAGAGGTAGCTGTGTTATATATCTAACACATAGCTACAATTTTTTATTAAACAAATGTACTATCGAAACATAATAGTTTATAAAATGAAAAACTGCTTCCTGCTAACCGGAATTCGGTTCGGTTCAAATATAGGATAAATCGGTTTGGTTAACCGGTTTTTTCCACCCCTACCCGGAGAAGAAAACAAAACCACTGCACATTAGCAGTAACATGACCAAGAGCACAATACTCAAATTCGGCACTAGAGCGAGAAACAATAGTTTGCTTCTTGGTAGTCCAAGAGACGACATTCCGACCAAGGAACGCACAGCCACTAGTAACAGAGCGTCAAGTAGACACATCAGTGGCCCAGTCAAAATCAGAATATGCCAAGAGATGAAAGTCAGAGGCACAATAAAAAGTGAGACTACGAGTGAGAGTACCTTTGATGTACCTGAAAATCCGTTTAAGGGCACGCAGATCATAGTGAGTGGGAGTAGAAAATCGCTGAGCAACCTAATTTACAGCAAAAACAATATTAGGCCAAGTGAGAGTAAGGTACTGTAGACCCCCAACCATACTCCTATACAAAGAAACATCAAAGAGGAGCTCCTCATCAATAGGAAACACTAATTTAGATGGACTAATAGGCATAACAAACGAGGCACAAGTGTAAAATCCCCCTCCAGTTAGGTATCATCTGAATATCCCTCAATGAGAATTCTGAGAATACATGTCTGGAGAACAAGTTGTATTTAGAAAAATCTGTGTAAGGATAGTAATAATAATATCCAAAACATGCATATAAAATGTCACGTAGGATCCAAACTTATAATGCTCAAGAATAAAGTGGAGGTCAATGTCAATATGTCAAGTACGAGCATGAAAGACTGAATTCGTGCCATGTGGAGAGCGGACTGATTGTCACAAGCAATAACAGAGAAAAGTCAAAGGTAGGCCAAGGTCTCGAAGATAGGGGTGAAAAAAAATAGAAAACCGAACCGAACCAAAAATCAGACCGGACCAAACAAAAAATTAGGTTTTTCTATGAATTCGCTTTGATTTCGGTTTAGAATAATGGTAAACCAACATTCGTTTGATTTTGGTTTTTTAATAAAATAACCGTTACCAAAACAGGATATGAAACCGATTTTTTCAAAAAAAAATTATTTCCTTTCATTAAATCCCTCTCTCTCTGGTTTCTCCATATTTTATTTTATTAAATACCACTCTCTCTCTTCTCATTTCTCCACCTTTTTCTCTTATTAATGCCTTTCTTTCTTTCCCACATTTCTTCGTTTTCTCTTTTATTAAATGCCTCTCTCTTTCTTTCTCGATCTCTTCAATCTCATCTTTCACTTCCATAAATACCTCCCTTTCTCCTTCCCATTTTTAAACTCTCTTTTATTAATTCCCTCTCTCTCCCTCTCTCTCACTCTCTCTGCAAATATGCATCCACCATTTCCTATCTTTTCCTTCTCTACAACTTCAGTTTCAACTTTCAATGTTCCTTCTCCACATGATAAAACTTCATCATCAAAACCATAAGCTATATACTTTATGATTTTCTTTACCACCAGCGGTTGTTTTTTTGTTTGAATTTTCAGCTGTCTCGATTGCCATATATAGTGGAAGGCTTACAGCTTTTGGAAGCTAAAACTTACAAGGATGTTGACTTGCCATTAAACATCAAAGAGACAGTTTCCATCAGCTTCTCCCGCTCAGCCTAATTTTCATGTCACAAACTGAGCCGCTTACTTTTGGCCCCTTACTCTTCCATTCCTGAATTCTGGCATCGAGCTCTGTTTGGTTACGTGAACTTGTGTGTACTATTGCTCCAAATCCTGCTAGTTTCTCCACTATAGCATATCTGGCAAATACAACTAGATAGCAAAAACATAAATTGGGCCAAATTGGAAGTTTATATGAATTGGGCTGACCGGTCCAGGCCATTTTAAAAACCAGTTTACAACTAGACCGAATTTTAGGTTCAGTTTATGAACCGTTTAAGTAAAAATCGGTTCGATTTTTACTTAACCGAATTCGGTTCGGTTCAAATATAGGATAAATTCGGTCTAGTTATAAACCGGTTTAAGTAAAAAATCAGTTTGGTTTTTTACTTAAACCAAACCTTACCGCTTTATTTGGCAAAGAGCAAGAGCAAGAAGATTACTTTCACATAATGAACTTTATAAATCCAGACCAGATCCTTGAAACTTCTCTCGAGTAATGTCATCAAGTCGGTCTTTCATTTCAGGTGTTAAGCAGTTCTTCCAGTCCCCAACATTGCCAAGTCTGAAATATGTCTTGTAAGCTAATCCATCCCAAGGGTCTATCCCTGATTTGTTGACTTCCAAATTCTTCAGCCTTTCCAAGCTGCACCTCCATAATATCTCATCTACCTCTTCTTCATTAACAAAAGGCTTTCCAAGGTATGAAGCTAATTTCTTGACTTGTCCTCTTGTGTCTTTCTTCATCTCTTCATATTTCAAGAAGAGAATCTTCTCAGGTCTCTTTAGACTCTCATTCCAGTACCCTAAAACATGATCATGGAAAGGCCCGAAAGTATGAACCCCTTTGCAAAAGCTGTCGAAGGTGTCGCCTATAGAGTGTGGCTCTTGCCCTGCTGCTGCATTTGCGTTCATCAAGTGCCATAAGGAGACGAATGCGTCCTTTGGGTCTCGCGCAATATACACAATCTTGCAGCCGGATTTTTGGATGGTTTCTGGGAGTATTGAGTATGGCAAGTGAGTTCGGAATAGCCTTGGAGAGAGCATACCTGAAAGATCAGGATTTGGGTTTCCACTGTAAATTTTAATTTCCAAAGATGGCATCAAGGCGTTGGGGTGGTTTGTGACTAAAGGGTCATCTTCTTCTTCTCCTCCTCCAGTAGGATTGATGATGGATGGTATAAGAGCCTTGAGCCAAGTGGTGCCCGTCTTTGGACAAGAAGCAAGAATAATATCATCATCACGTGCCTTGAAGTGTGACCTTGCAGCCATGGCAGCTTCAAGATGAGGTGGGTAATACCAGAAACCTTCCCACTGATAATGCTCAAACATTCTCCAACATATCGCTCTTGGAAGTTCATCAAATAATACAGAAGAAGAAGAGGAAGAAGATTTCAGCGTACTAGAGGTTTCCATTGGAAGAGAATATGGATTGGAATTGGAGTCTTTCTCTTTTAGGTTTTAAAGGAATCACTGGCCAGTGGCCACCGCATTGAACGGCATTCTCTCGCTATTTACTTTGCATTACAGCTGGATTCCAGGACTTTGTCTCTGACTGCAACAAAATATAAGCAAAGCTGTTCATATATTAATTATATAGACTTCGAAACTTGAAAGATTGAATTGAGAGGTTGTCCTAATTATATATATATATATTTTTTTAGAAAGGTTAGTGCTACAAAAACTCTTTGTACGAAATGACGTGGCAAGTCTAGACACATAACTTGCCCCGTCATCACTTTCCACATCACTATTTTATTAAATATTTAATAATTATTAATTATATTAATTAAAATATTTCAGTTTTCGCCAGCCGCCAAGCCACCCGAGGCCAAAGTGCGGCCAACCACCGATCCCTTGTCTTCCTCTTCTTGAAATTTTAGTTTTTTCTTCTGTTCTCTTTTTTTCTTACTGTCAATAAAAAATACATTATAAAACATAATTAATTACAAGCCTTCCATCTTCAAATTCACCTAATCCAGTTTCTTAAGAAAAATTAATAATAAACTGAAGAAATAAAAAATTGAGCCAAACACCAGATCTGGGCCGTGAAGACTCTTATTTCTGAATTTTTTTTTTTTTCCTTGGAAAGACTTCTTATATTAGTATCGTAACTTCCTCCATCTTTCAAGCTAAGCAATCACGTTGAGTTAACAATTCAAGAATAAAATAAAGTGAACAAATTTCTTATTGCCATTAGAGTACTAAAAGTTGACAAGCAAATTAATTGCTCCAACAGTCGAGAGATACGAGAAAGAGGAACCACGTCATGCCGTGATGGGCAAAGCCCAGAATATCGGACTGGGATAATCATCTGCCCAAGTTTTTAGACCGTAGACTTATTGAATATGTGAGCTCTCAGCCTCAAAAATTCCAAATCATGGCTTGATTAGTCAATAACATAAGAACAAAACTTTAACAGTACTGTACATTCCACATCACGGCTTTCTTATTCTTGAGTTACATGCATTACAATTAGCAGAAAAGTATTATTC